ATATGTATGTATAAAAGATTTGGCTTCTATTTACAAGTAGCTAGCTAATCACTTTCTCTTGGTGGATGGCACCGGCTTCCACTGAATTGGCTGATCCTCACTGATCACCTCATCAAAGGGTGATGGCCATACCTGTGTTCTTTCCCAAACAGGCTTTCTCATTTGTTCTAATATGGAGAGTTTCCCAGATTTTAAAGCTTTACTTTTCTTCTAATCAATTCTGCCTAAATAATCTCTCTTCTGTAGTGTGCATTTTACTATAAGCAGTCCCAAGGAACTTGCCCTACCAATATTGCTTAGAAACAGCATCAGTCAAATACCCAACTTAATTGCTCAGGGGTCCTATCTTCCCTGAAACACCACAAGAGCACAACTTGGCCAAGTCCTTTGCCAATTCCTAACAAGATAGCCCTTCCTCTAGTTGATTTTTTTTTTTAATATTTTTTTTCCTTTGGTTGTTTTGAAACAGGGTTTCCCTGTAGCTCCAGCTGGCCTGGAACTATGTAGACCACACTGGCCTTGAACTCACAGAGATCAGCCTGCCTCTGCCTCCCAAGTGCTGGGATTAAAGGCATGCGCCATCATGCTGGGCTTTAATCTTTCTTTTTAAAATATATTTTATTATTTTTATTTTATGTGTATGATTGTACTGCCTGCATGTGTTTAAGTGTACCTGTGACATGCAGTGCCCCTGGAGGCCAAAAGAGGGCATCAGATCACTTGGAACTAGAGTTATGGATAGTTGTTAGTCACCATGTGGGTGCTGGGAACTGAACCTGGGTACTCTCCAAGAGCAGTCAGTGCTTTTAACCACTGGTCCTCTCTCCAGCACCCTCATTCTAATCTTTCTTTAAAAGATTTTTAAGGGCTGGAGAGATGGCTCAGCGGATAAGAACACCAACTGTTCTTGCAGAAGACCCAGGTTCGAATCCCAGCACCGACATGGCAGCTAACAACTGTCCCTAACTCCAGTCCCAGGGGATTCGACAGCCTCTTCTGACCTCCACGGACATTGCACAACACGGGTACACTTACCTACATCCAAGCAATTACACACATAAAATAAAAATAATAAAAAAAAATTTTTTTAAATCATGTGTATGTGTCTGGCTGTGCATATGTACATGAGTGCATCTACCAGTGGAAGCAGGAGGGTGTCAGATCCTCTGGAGTCACAGGAGGTTGTAAATGCAGGTCTTCTGCAAACACAGTATGTGCTCTTCACTGCTGAGCCATCTCTCTAGCCCCGTCTCATTCTAATCTTTACCAGTTTTTTCCCTCTGCTTGTTTGGGGTGTAGATATGCAATATTTGTAGCCTATGATGCACTATACTACTCATTTTATTCCTGTAAAATGAGTAGTATATACCACTTTTCATTTTTCATTTTAGCAATTTGAGTTCTACCTCTGACTTGATTACCTAAACGATTGTCAGGAAGGAGGGAGGTTCCAGAGGGGTAGAGAGACCCTCAGCAGAGGGAAGGCCTCTGGAGGGACATCCTGGCTCAAGGTGGCTCTCTAGGGAAAACAATGGATGGGTAAGGCTGCCAGAAGAGGAAGTGACCAGAGAGTACCCTGGCACCTACTGTTTGTGTGGTTAGGACATTTCCACTTTCACACACCCTTAAGTAGTTACTCTAATGTGCCCAGTGTAACTTTGTACATATTCCTATAGTTAAACACAGCTTCAAGCCGGGCGTGGTGGCGCACACCTTTAATCCCAGCACTTGGGAGGCAGAGGCAGGCGGATCTCTGTGAGTTCAAGACCAGCCTGGTCTACATAGTGAGTTCCAGAACAGCTGGGGCTACAGGGAGACCTTGTCTCAAAAAAGACCAAAAAAAACAAAAAACAAAAAAACACAGCTTCATATTGACAAGTGAATCACCCCAACACCCAGATCTCTGCATTCCCAGGTTTGAAGGAAGATTGGTCACTACAGGCTTCAATACCCTCTAAATTGCTGCTTTCTAGTCAGAAAGTAGAGCTACTTATAGTATGAGTCTGTATGAACACTGCAATATGTTCTGACCACCTTCCCATTGGTCTTCATACCTGATAATGTAGGTAAACCCGAGGGTGCACTTGCACCCCAAGGATGGACCCTAGGTTGTTTCCAGCCCCCACCCTTAGGGTCCCCCAATAAGACGGCTGGTTGAGGTCCTAGACTTACTGTACACTGTTGGAACCTGTCATGTGGGGCAGAGAAAAGCAATCACAGAGGGCAGGCATGTGCTTCATCTTTTTATTATTCTTTATTGTCCTACCACTATGACTCTTTACCCAGGCCCACTGTTCCTGTGCGCACTGGCTTTGGTGACATTTGTGCCACACAACAACTGTCCCAAGTCTTTGTTAATTTCTCCCTCTTTTGCCCTTTCCGCATTCTGCCTCATTTTTTCAGAAACTGAAGGCATTTGCTTAATATTATTTGTTTGGGTCTGTGTAAAGATTCCTTGGCAGGAGAACATGCATATGACTTTAAAATAAAGACCAACATTCTGACACTAAGGTAATGCACAGAAAAAATACAGTACTTAGACATCATTGCAAATAAATACCCCATACAGATGATGTTATCTCAAATGTGACAATATTTCTTATGAATCAACACTGTAACAGAAGGTAAAATAGAGGAATCCCAACAACTAGGAATAAATGCTCCTTCCAGGAAACAGAACTCTTCAATTCTTGCAATTTATATTATTATAATTTGTCCCTTTTTTTTGGAGGACAGAGGACAATTTTTCTTCCTCCTCTAGTACCAATTTGACCACACCCGCAAACCTCACTTAGCAAATAGTTTGCTAAGGAGTTTTAGTGAGTTCTGTTTCCTGAAATTAACAGTGATTAGTTACACCAAGCAAGAGAAGATATAATGTCTGGTTTCACATTTGCAAAGAACACTATGGCTAACCCTCTTCCCAAACTCAGGGCAACTGCGCCGGCTCTCCTGATGTCCTCAGCTCTTCACAAACGTGGTGTTCCTACAGCTTGCTTAGCTTGTCCCATAAAGTCTATTTGGTTCCCAAAGCACACTCAAGGTTTTGTGTTTGTTTTTGTTTTCTAAGCCCCTGAATTTGCATGTAAAGAATCACTGACTAACAGAATTTTGCACAATCAGTTCTCTCCCCCTCGATGAAGACGCCCAGGTGCAATGTGAGAGGCAGGCGCCTGCTCCCACCTGTTGCTCCCACCTATTGGTCCACACTGGCCTTCAGCATTCCCAACTAGTCCTCTGCCGTCCACTTTAGACAATTAACTTGGCTGGGACACCTCCCTTAATTGATGAAGGCACTACCGGCAATGGTTACTAACAAAAAGGTGTTGAAATAGAACACCCTAAAAATCGACTGTAGAATTTTCTAAGTGTACCACAATTTGGCACAACAACCAGAATAACAAAACAATTCCAATTTGGAATTTCACTGGTACAGTTGTATAAAATTCTGTTAATCAGTCATGCTTCACAATGTCCTAAAACCCAGAAAACTCTGGAATTTGTAGGTAATACTACTCATTCAATAATTTATGCTTTCAAGTGCCTATTACTGTTTCAACCAGAGCAAAGGTCAAGTTTTCTTCTTGTTACATTGAACTATTCCTAAGAATAATAATAATACAATATGAAAAACCCCAGAATTGGAATACCCTGGATTTCTTAATGAACATGGCATTTAAAATCTGTAATTTCAAACATGAAGCACAATGCCGTGTCCTCAAAAGGCTGCTGAACCACAGCATGGGTACACTAGCCGGCCGAGCTCCTCGCAGGGTCGAAGCCTCACCTCCAGTCTAGCTACACACTACGGAGCACAGCTCTGTCTTGTGCCGATGCCATATCAACACGCCCGAGCTAGGACGGATAGCTACAGGACCATGAGCACAGACCACGGCATCGGAGACCGTCTCTAAACGAGGAGTTTAGGAAGCAAACATACTATCAAAATATCAAAAGTGCACAGGTTGATCGGATAAAAAAGGAACATGTGTAATAAGGAGACCCTGTGGTGGGCGTTCCAGCAGGCCCTTAGAGAGCCTGGCAGTGAGTGGAAGCAGGTTCTTCGGCCACACAGAGGCCTTTCCAAGCAGCAGCTTGCAGCATTCTCAATATTAAAGCTTTTTTTCCTCCCATTAAAAACTTGGGGAATGCTATAATGAAAAGAATTGCAGTGGCATATCCAAATGTTTCTAAGTGGACTTTAGGTTGCCCTTCCTTCCTCTGCATGGGCCACAGGAGGGGAAGGGGGAAGGGGCTGCAGTGTGACAGGGCCACGTGGCCACGTCCTCCCGGCAGCTACTCTACAGCTGAAAACAGGAGAAAAGACAGCATTAGAAATCAATTGCCTGTCACTTCCTGTTCACTTGACAACTAAAGCTCTTGTCATGCTGGAGTGAGCGAGCATGTTAGTTGGCAGAAGAGACTTACATGTGGGGTTAGAGGCCAGGGCTCCAAGTGCCCACAAAGCCCCATACAAATAGAAGAGAAGCTGTGGTTTGCCCAATGCAGAGGAAAAGCAGGAGGTGGGTGAGCATGCGGGCAGTCATCCCCAGAAACAGGCATGCAAGGGTCACATGAGACCTGTTCTGACCCCAGTATATGACTGTGTGGTGCCTAGAATCTGGAGGAGACTGGGATACCCTCAGCACCAAGCAGAAGGAAAGAGCAGACAGCTGTGAGAGACCTCAGGGCCTCACACCGGGTACCAATGCTGGGTTCAACATTGCAGAACATGCCTTTCCACAGGGAGAGACAGGCAAGTGGCTGTCGGGGGAGACAGGACCTCAGGTCTGGATGTCCCACGGGGATTGGGAGAGGAAATACTGAGAAGAATTCTGCTTGACAACACACTAGCACAGATACCTGATACTACAGCTCTGCACTGACAGAGCCTCTGGAAAAGGAGAGTCCTCAGTGGTCTGTCTTCCTTGTCACACCCCCAAGTAGTGCTGGGAACCATATATCTCTTACCTGTTGGTCCTGAGCCCAGGGTCAGGCCCACACAAAGTTCTCCTAGCACAGAGCTGGGCTCTACCATATCTGTGCAGTTCAGCTGAGCCTGCTGGCAGTTCTCAAAAACACTGCTTCTTCAGGTCTGGAACTTCTAGGGGGAAGGCCTGAGCATGGACAGTGGGGGTTACCCAAGTACAAAAGAACAGTCTCCGCACCAAGGACCAAGGTCTGCCCAGGCACTTGGAACACTTTTCTCCTTAAAAAAGGAAACCCCAGGCCTCTAACCTGCCAACTTGTCACCTCACAGGATAGCAGAGCAGCATGTAGATCTCAGAAATGAGACCCTACAGCCGCCAAGCTCTGCCCTCCTGGGCTATAGTCAACTGTATCTGAGGAAGGGGAGTCTCATCTGCAGAACACAGGAACTCAGAACCAATCTTCTGTGGGGTTGGGTTGAAGGAGTTCTGCATTTTTGTCCTGAATGAGATTTGTAGTGAGATGCTGCACAAGCTACAATGAAACTCTTTCCATGAAACTATGCCAACCACAGAGCTAACCTAGGCTGGACCTATAACACAGGCCAAAGCCTCATTAAACTGCTTTCAAGTGCTGATATTAGATACATGCGAGGAACATGCAGGTTTCAACTCTGGGTCTGCCCCTGTGCAGGTGCCCAGGGAGCAGGACCAAGATTCTCTTTTGGGTTCTCCTGACAATGCCTGGGGCCCCTGGAAGACACTTTCACTCCTCTGTCTTCCACAAAGGTATGCAGCTCCATCCCCACCTCTGACACTACCACCCACAGACAGCAGCTAACACAGGATGCTCTTGAGGAGGCTGTGGAGTGAGAAGCGACACAAAGCTCAGTGTCCTGGTGACAGATGTGCCCCACGCTGCCGCTCACCTAGAATGCTGCCCTTTATGAGTTAGTTCCGTTAAGACCGGCCTAGCACAGCTGGCCCACTGCGGCTGGGTTAGTTGAGGTGAAGCAGACGTTAGCGCAGCATGTGGCACCCCACAGACCTAATCACAGTAAATGCTGTGCTTCTCGCTGCAGAACACCTGGTTGGCCAGCCCAGTGCCCTCGGCCCTCTCGCTGGCACAGGCACAGGCACAGGTGTGACTTACGCTCGGAGTGGCCGGTTTGGCCTTGGGAGCAGCCTTGCTGCGGCCCCGGCGGGTCTGCTCGTGGTCCAGCTCGAGCAGTTCCAACCGCTGGGTCAGCGCCAGCTTCTGTTGGATGGCCATGCGCAGCAGGGAGTTAAGTGTTTTCTTTTCATCCTCAGCAGCTGCCAGCTGCCGCTGCATCTCATCCAGTTGTGTGATGTACTCGTCACACCTATGGGGACAAAGCACAGTTAAAGGCAAGGAAAACAGCTTCACTCCAGGCTCTCCCTCATGTGGGGCCTGAGTTGGGGCTGGGGCAAGTTTGTCCTGGTTTGTTTTAGCAAAGGCTTCTTCAGAAAAAGGCAATGACAAGGGCCAGAGGGCACTTAGTGCCCAGGCAGCATCACTCTATAAGGCTGTCTTCAATTCTGTGTTGTTGGGGTTTGCTTGTTTTGAAGGTGGGTGAGATGTGGGTAGTGAGGGACTTCTGTTTGTGAGCTAGAAGTGGTTTCTATAACAAAGCCATGATCCTCACCCACTTGGCTTTCTTAGAGTAAGGTCTCTTTTAACACCAAGAGGTGGCCCAGACACTTAGATTACCACTGGCTTCCAGGATTTGGGTATGAATTGAGACAGGACTGAGCTTGCTCCCACTGAAAGCCATGATTGGCTATGAATAAGCCTATACTGAGTGACAATCAATATTGGGAAAGGAGTGGCATCTGAGCCTCCATACTGTGACATACCAGCCTTGCCCAGTGCAGAGCTGGGAAGAGGAGAAAGGCTGGCACTATTCTGTTCCGGGGTACCCCTGTCTCATCTGTCTAGTTGGAGCCTGGTGGAAAATGAAAACACCTGACAGGTCAAACTTCAGGGCTCTAGGGGTGGTAGAGGGCACATGGGCTCTGAGTACTGCCCATGCTATTGATGACTCTGACTTGCCCAGACCAAGCAAGCCACTGACAGCACTTCTCATGGAATATGTACTCTCTTTCTCAAAGGTTTGAGATCCTGGCTCCAGAAGAACAGTCAGGTTGTTAAACAGAACAAATTTAGAAAAGCTATGGTTCATATACCAGTTGCTGAGGAACTGCAAGAATCTTCCTAAGCCCCAAGATGGAAATTCCTAAAGAAATCCTGGAACTCTCCCTGTCTCTGCCTGCCTTGGCCCCTCTGAACCTCAGCTTCGTCACCCGCCACAGAAAATGTCTGGGTCTACCAAGTCTTATGCTGGGCCTGGCCATCCCCAGTGTCATTCCAACTTGCACCAGCAGGTGGAGCAACCTGTCTTTGGAGGGTGATAGGAAGAGGCCTTTGTTTTCAAACCTCAAGGCTGTTCTTCTTCCCCACCCTATAAAGGGTGAGAAGAAAGGAGGCCCCCCAGGCTACTCAAGGACTAAGAGCCCCTGTGGGAGAGGGAAGAAAGTTCCCCTTCCCCTTTCCCTGTAGACAGGCTGAGGATGGGTGGCAAGGTGGGACCCCTACAGGAACCCACAAGCAGGGAGGGGATCTTGCTTCTCAATCTATAAATTAAACTCACACAGGTGCCTCACAGCCAGCCAAGTTTGGACCTTTTCTGTCACTTTACTGCACCAAACTTAAACCTCACCACTGTTTCATCTATCCCATCCCCAAAGGTCACTCCTCTTAGCTCCTTTGCTTATAAGCCTGTTTATGGGCAAAGCAGGACAAACTGGGTCCCTGGGTTTTCAGTAGAAGCAAAATTAGAGTCAGGCCTCTGGGGGCTATACCAAGCAGTGATAAGAACAGGGAAATGACTAGATACCTCTGTCGAATGTCAGCCTATGTGGCACTCACCAGGCACGTTCTGTACTTGGTACCTGCCTACACGATGCACAGGAGGCAAAGGTACAGTCAGCTGGGACCCTGGTGCTACACTGCCTTTGTTATCTCCTTGCGTTCTCTCATTACCAAATTGGGCTGCGGCTGGGCCAGGGACTGTGATTTCCAAACCTTGAGCTGTGTTGGGGTCGGAGGATGCTATACACAGGTACTGAACCAGGTTCTATAGGCCTCAGTCAAGATACTGAGGATTGAGGGCGAGGGGAGTGGCTTCAGAAAGGGAAGGGCCACTAGTGGTGCAGTTACCTGGTGGCAAACATAGCACGTAGTGAAGAGAAGGTGGCCGCGTCTTCCTTGAGGGCCTTGAGCTCATTGCGGAGCTTCATCATGGTCTCTGTCACCATAGCTTTCTCATTTTCGTACTTGCTTTTCAGGTTGGCAAGGGCCACTTCAGCTGTCTGAGGGACAGAAGGGCAGAGCAGGTGGGTAAAAGAGAAGCAGTTCTAGGGAAGCTCTGGGTATACAGTGGGGACCATGGGTCTAAGGTGGTGAAGGTACCCACGAAGAACTCTACTGTCCCTCTGAATCAGCTCTGGGGACAAAGTGACAGCCATGCTTTGGAGGTCACCTTGCCTCAGTGAGTCCCACCCTCTGAGCCTGACCAGCAGAAAATGATGTAGCAGAGAACCTGCTTTGGAGAGCCCACAAGTCCTACATCACCTCCTGCGTGCTCAGGTCAAAGCTCTGTGTCACTTCAGCACCAGAGACTGTGTGAGTGGTCAGCAGCGGGTTCTTATTGGCTGAGCTACTCTTGTTAGAAAGCTCTTGAGCCTACAAACGCACTCTACCCATTTGGCTGGGAGCCCTGAGGAAGAGGCAATAACAAGAGGATGACACAGGCCTAGGGGCTCTGCAACAAGTGGAGGACAGAGAACACGAGGAGACAGAGAAATATCTTCCCAGTGGGCTCGGCCGGCTCACCTGCTTGTTGGCCTTGAGCACCGTGCGTAGCGTGGTGATCTGCTCTCTCTTGGTACTCAGCAGCGACTTCAGTTTGAGGATCTCCTCCATGAGAGCCTCCTTGTCCTTGTCCACAGCAGGGCCCAGCTCCTGGGAGGCAATACGCTGACGAGACAGCTCAGTTGTGCGGTCCACGGCTGCCTGCAGATGCTTGATCTGGTCACGGATGATGGCAATAAGGTTGTAGATGTTCATAGGCTCCCGGCGGGGGTCACTCAAAGGTGATGGCAGTGAGGAGCTGGGTGAGAGGCTGCTGTCCCCAGTCCCACCATCTGCTCGGCCCATCTCTGTGGCCAGCAGCCCCTTGGGCAGGAGGACAGGTGAACGGCGCCCACGGCTCTCAGGGCTGGTGCGGCCAGCCTTGCCCTGGCCCTCTCGGTAGTAGTCCAGCATGACACGATTGGGCGTCTCATTGTTGCACATGCACACATGGTGGTAGAGGTTGGCTAGCTCCTCACTGAAGGTCACAAGTTCATCCTGAGCCACACTCAGGCTGCCCTGAGTCTCACCAGCCACATCGCTCATTTTCTTCAGCTCCTTCTCCAGCTGGGCTAGCAGCTCCCGGTCCTGGTAGCTGGCCTTCTCCAGTAGGGAGACTTTCTCACTGAGTGCCTGGCCCTCGGCCTCATAGCGGCCCTTCTCTTCAGCATGCTGGGCCTCACAAGCTTCATGTGTGCTACGCAGTGCTTTGAGCTGTTCTCGGAGTTCGCCAGCCTCAGTCACAGCCACGTGGTACTTGCAGGCCAGGATCTCAGGCCCGTTGATATCGACCTCGTAGTAGTCGCCGTCCTCATGGCTATCACGGTCCTTCTCATTGTCTAGGGCTGTCTGCCGCTCCTTGCCAGCCTGCAGGCGCCGCAGGGCACCAAGGTTCTCTGTGAGGCGGTTCACCTTCTCATGCTGCTCAGAGAGAGCCCCCCGCGCCTGCTCCAGTTGCTTCTGGGTATCCTGCAGTGTTGCCAACAGGTTTACCTTCTCCCGTTCCATCTGCAAAGGCACACAGGAGGAAAGCAAGTCAGGAGGTTTAGGGGACCCCAGGATACTCCAGCAATACCCCCGTCTGAACCAGGGTGGGACATGGCCTATGCAGATTTCCTGACTATACCACTAGTGACAGCAGACTGGACAGAATCTACCACAAAGACCCCATACCAAGCTAGGCATGGTGTGCATGCCTTTAATCCTGGCACTTGGGAGGCAGAGGTGGGAAGATCTCCGTGAGTTTGAGGCCAGCCTGGTACACACAGTGAGAGTCTGTCTCCAAACAAAACACCAAGACTTCACAAAGAACATGTGCATCACCAGTAAAAGTAGTCACCCACAAGGGCTCTTTTCTTTTGCTAAAGAGGAGCCCAGATCCAAATGCGGAACTCTGGGTCAACAGGGCAAACTAGCAGGATCCCTCAGGGTCCTAGCTCTCTGCCATCTTCCTTTCCCAAGTTGTGGAGTACACTCATTTGCCAAATCAACAGTGATCTCCCAAAAGCTGTGTCAATGCATGGCTCTGCCAACACTCTAACTTGTGGTTTGGAGGTGGGGGTCACATGAGGGGTCAGAATTGCATCACCTCATCCCAACACTATGTGGGTAGTGGAGGGAGCAACATGGGCACCACCGTGATAAACCATATACAGATAATCAGGAACCTACTGCTCTGGGGCTCCACTCTTTGTGCTACTAGAGTTCCATTTACGGTAATGACAGAATTTAAAATCAGTATGGGTAAATTAACAGCAATCCCATATCACAAAAGTACTGCTTACACAGTGCATGCAGATCTTCAAGCATTCTAAAGGGCAAGTGGGAGGGGGAAGAGGGAAGGAATGGAGCATGAGGCTCAGCCCATTCACCTGCACCAGCTGCTGCTTCAGCTTCTGGATCTCGGATATGTGGAGCTCACTGAGCAGATCAGAAACCAGGCTGGGGGAGGGGGGTGCCAGGCCATCCTTCCTGGGTGTGGACGTCTTATTGTCCAGTGGTGTTTTGACCAGGCCACTATGCTCAAAGCCATTGACCAGGGCTTCAGCATCGTTGTTGGGCTCAGCAGTGGCAGCATCATCACTGAACTTGAGGCCATCCAAGGAGACCTGCAGGTGGCTGGTGTAGAAGGAGTCATTGATGCTCATGTAGTGAGACAGTTCCTTACGCAGGTTGTTCTTCTGCTCCCGCTCTGTCTTCAGCGTCTCCAGCGCCTCCTCCAGCTGCCGCTCGGAGATCTCCTTAAGCCGGATAGCATCCTCCAACTGGCTGTTGAGGTATTCGGTCTCCTCCTCCAGACGCTTGATTTCATGCTTGAGGCCCTCAAATTCCACCTGGGGAACAGAGACAAATACTCCCATGTCAAGACAACATGGAGGTACCACTTAGGCCTGATAAATTAGGAGAGTGCACCAGCCTCTCCAGCCACAAAGAACAAGGAGACACACAAGGTGAAGTGTCACTCTGGCAGTGACTGTGCAACCAAAGCCACTTCCTACATAGAGGAACGGGGATGGTAGGAGAGGTCAATGCACAGAAATGCTCATCCCATTGCCAGGACCAGTGTGCCTGTGAAGGGGCAACACAAGTGTGTGAGGCCCAGTGTGCCTGTGAAGGGGCAACACAAGTGTGTAGCATGTGGAGCCTGCAATGCCCTGGTAGAAGGCACACACTGAGGCTGTCAAAGTTCTATTATTATCTTTAGTACCAAGTGTATGCTGATTTAAAATTCTACAAAATTACTCAATTAACATTAACAGCTAATCACATCCCCTTTTTATTGTGAGTACGTGTGAGTGCATGTGTGCACGATGTTGGCACACATACAACTGTGCACATGTGGAAGTCAAAGAACAACTCTGTGCAGAGTTGATTCTCTCCTTCCACCTTTATGTGGATTTTGGGGATTGAACTCAGATCACCAGGCTTACACAGTGAGTGTTGAGACACCTAGCTAGCTCTAACCAAGTATCTTAAAGCACATGAAATATATGCTTTGATTTATATTATGCCCATTATTTTGAATCAAAATAAAGGAACAGGACCTCCCACTCAGGCAGAATACCTCAGCACTAATCCCTCAGAATGTAAGCTTGGAGGAATTGGAGGTAGATGGGAAAGCACAATTGGTCTTGTCAATGTGACACTATTTCGGGTTGACAAAGAAAGAGCACACGGAAACTGATGTTAATGTGAAAGGTCAGGGCATGTAGGCATATTTAAAAACATGCTACTCTGTAATATTAAGTAATCTCTATGGGTCTGGGTAGGAAAGGACACCTGGTATCATATCCTAAGTGTGCCCATATCCAATGCCCCAAACTGGGAGGTAAGGAATCCCAGAGGGGATGTGACTCCATAGAGAGCAGGGTCTCTCTGAGCCTCAGCTACTCTTTGTGGGGCACTGTGGGCCAGGCTCTGTGGACAGTAATGCCAATGCCCACTGGCTCAAGCTTATTAATTATAGGAATGGGGCTATGAACCCTGTTCCTGCAGTTTCCTAGGCAGCAGAATCCATTCCCTCCTTGTTCTTGCAAACACAAAGCTTCTACATAAACATGAGCCTTCCTCATGCAGGATATAAATACTGGGTCACCAACAGTGAAACCTAAGTTCTGAGATTATCTGAGTGCTAGAGGGTTCCAAAGACAGCAAGGGAAGCACCCATGGCATTTGGGGCAAGGCCTGCGATTTCCAGAGAAAAGGCTTCCCGCTGCTGGCTGAAGCACTATAAGAGGGAGCATGTAACAGGCACTGAGTGGTCCCCAGAGCCTAAGATCACCCTGACCCATCCCAGAGGACCCTCCTAAACCTTGTCACAGGCATTCTTTATCCCTACAACAGGCAAGATCATGGTAGTATTTCAGGCCTCATGGTCAGAGCACCTGAGAGACCATTCTTTGGAACCTCTTCATTATCTCCCCCTATGCCTTGGTAACGTGGAACACTGTCCCCTCTGGGCATGACATGGCTCTTGCTGTCTCAAAATCAGAGCAGCTATGATTACCCATTCTCAGGAGACCTTCACAAGATCAGGCTTATAAACATTCCCTCACAGGAGAGGGTAGAAAGTGTCATTAGACCCTCAACCAAGATTCTAGCCACTCATTCCCTTCTGTGCCCTGTACCAGCTGTACAGAATCCTGTCCTAGCTCTCTCAGGAGTTACTCAAGTATATAGGAGGGGGAAGATCTACTGAAGGAGGAGCTCTTATCTATGCAGCTTTTGAAAGATAACCACTCGTGCTGAGTTGTGAGTTTTCAGTGATGTAGCTACTGTAGAGTCATCCATGGTCCTGTGGTCCTCTGCGTAACCCCTCATCCATGCTCCTGTGTATAACACCTCACCCGTGGTCCTGTGTGTAACCCCTCACCCATGTTCTTATGAGTAATCCCTGATCCATGCTCCTATAAGTAAGCTCAGTATACTCATTGGCTCACCAAGGTGGACTTGGATGGAATTTTTTCTCCTGTCCTGTCATTAGTGCCCTATCTGTGCTAAACAGATTCCCCAGGAAGAGTCATGCAACATTTGGCCTGGCAAATTGTTTTGTGGTCATGGAGTATACAGATACCTTGCGCCACAAGCCCTACCTCCACTGTGGTGGTGCTGGTCCTGGCCTCAGTTGTGTAGAACAGACAGGGAACAGGAAGACAGAGGAGAAGACTGAGAAGCCCAGAGTTGACCTGTGTACCAACCCTAACCCTGGAGACTTGCCTGGTTCTGTCTAAGCACAGATACTTGCTTCTGCAGACTGATGTTCTCCTCCTCCAGCTCTGAGTAGTCTTGTAGCAGGCGAGCCTCCCGGAATTTATACTCTTTGATGTCATCCCGCAGGCGGCCACGCTGGATCTCCACATTTTGGTTGATCTGTGGGGGTAAAGAGAAAAGCTGTGTAGGTCCCTTCTACAGTTGGTCCTATTTCTAAGGGACACGTGGGGGGCTCAGCACAGCCAGGCACACTGTGAGCCCTTTGGGCACCACTGTGGCTGCCTAAATATGAGATAAAGTCTAGGGCAGTGAGGTTCGTGGGAAGCAGCAGGCAGTCCACAGTCAGATCCCTTTCTGTTAGATCTCTTAGATTTGGAACTCTAGGCAAGTGATTCAACCTACTCTGACCCTTTTTCTCCACCTGCAAGATGGGGTCATCTAGCTGGTGAGCTGTTAACTGGAGCAACAGCATGGCATGCTTGTAGGTGCTCAAATAGTTAAACAAAATATCTACCCCAGAAAAAACAAATGCATCTACATAGAGTCCTGTACACAAGTGTTGCCAATAGTAGAGTTTACAATGTTTAAGACAGAGGCAACCCAAGTATCCATCAGTAGGCAAATGACTAAACACAGTGTGATCTAGCTATACAATACAGTGTTATTCAGACACAAGAAGGAATGACGTCTTTGACACTTGCTACAACATGAAGTTTGAAGACATTCTGCTGAGTGAAAGAAGCCAGTCACAGAGGCCATGCATTGTATGACTCCATTTATAAGAAATGTCAAGAGCAGGCAAATCCAGAGACACAGAAAGTAGTCTTTGGGGGTTAGAGACGAGGATGGGAGTAACTACAAGAGGGCTTCTTTCTGGAGTAGTGAAGTGTTCTAAAATTAACTGTGAGGGCTGGAAAGGTGTCTCAGTGACAGAGGGCTTGCCTAGCATAATGCAAGGCCTGGGTTGGATCCCCAGCACCAAAACAAAAAATGGTATGATGGTACACATACCTATATCTGAATTACACACTTTTAAGTAAGTGAGTTGTATGGTAAGTATGTCCCTTCAATAAAGCTGCTGAAAACTGGTTTTTGCCTCCAAGTCACATGTGAGGAGTTAGGGAGACTATTACTGGGAGTGGCCAGTGGGTGTCCAAGATGAACACAACACAATCCAGACTGTGGGAAAGCTGATTGCCTGCAGTGTGTCCGGCAGCATCATTCTTTGTGGTGGCTGTTGTCCTATGTTTTAGGCTGTTCAGCAGTTTCCTGACCTCTGCCCACCAGATGCAGCTCTCTCCCACACTGTGACAAGTGAAGATGTCTCTACACACCACCAATGTCCTCCCAGCCCTTTCCTGCTCTGTGCTTGCCTCTTGTCCCCTGTTCCAAATGCTTATATGGCCTTACTAGACCAACAAAACCCCTGTCCCAGTCCTCAGCAAGAAGCCCAGGCCCACACTCTAGTTCTCTCAGCATCTATAGAGGCTGTTCCTCATCACATTTTTATGTTCATCTGCCTCACAAGAAGCCACATAGGAAGATACAAAAAACAGTAATGACGGATCAGTAAAATGAAATAATACCATAAAAAAAGAAAGGAAGAAAGGAGGGAGGATGGGAAGGAAGGAGGGATGGAGGAAAGGAGAAGGGACTGTAACAGAATGAAGAGTGACACGAAAGTAAGCCCAAGTGACAAATGCTTAGCACTCAAAACTAAGACAGCATTCAAAATCTATGCAGACAGGCAACAGTCTTCTCACTGAGTGACTGAAAGAGGCGAGAGAACTGAAGGAGGCTGGAGATCACAGGGGAAGGAAGAGAAAACCAAAGGAGGACAGAGCTTCACAAGGAAAGTGAGGGTGGCAGACACATACTGGGATGGAGGGAGTCCCCAGCAGAGCCACCATGGGGGCAGGACCACAGGCCTCCACTTGAAAGCCCAGGGTGCTATGCACTCTGAAGCACACCTAGGCTCTCCACACTCCATTTGCAGTTCAGGTACCTCTCTGCCAGAAATGCTCCCCAATTCCTGCCCTCAGGCACTTCTCAGCCAGAAATGTTCCCTAATTCAAAAGTGCCTGCTATGTAGTAAATACATGTTCAGAGTGGTTCCATGCTCCTCAGACAGACTGGCAGCAGAGGGCAAGGTCTAAGTCCCACAGCTCCCCCAGGTCTGCAGAGCAGGAATGAGACACCTAGAAGGCAGTGGTAAGAGACATGATAGCAGCTTCCCCATGGCTGGAACAAAGACTGCAACCTGCAAAACTGAAGATGGAGGCAGAAGGTCAGCCTGGCTGCCTGAAGGTGTAGAGCCACACCAGGTATGATGTACAGAGTATCCATAGCAGTGCCCACATGGTCTGTTGAGTTCTCAGTGCCCTCCATCAGCCTGGCCCTGGCAAGGCACTCTAGGAGTTCTGTTCTTACACCACTGCTAGACCCAGAATCCTGGGAGCCACAAGAGCTTCCCTTTGGTAAAGAGTGTATGGGCCTGCATGGGCCTGTGAATGGGTATCCTTGTGGTAGGACAAGCACAGAGAGGCACACACAAGTAAGTCACTTGCTGGCCTTGAAACACCACATGACAGGTTAATGGTGCTATGTCTGCTGACACTGCAGGAGCCAAAAATGTGCACTTTCATTCTATGGAAACCACTTCCACCTCTAGCCACTAGGCCTCAGCAGAGAGGTTCAACTATCTTGCTACCTGGCACCTCCACTCTCGCACACCCAGCTCCTGGGCTCCAGCAAGCTCTGACTGGCCACCAGGGGGTTAGTTTTCCCTCAGGTAAGCACCTCCTCCCAGATGAGCCTATATGATGCCAGCTGACAAGAGTATAGGGTACACGCTCTCTGTGCAGATGAGCAGTCCAGGTAGAAGGGATGGGCATATGAGCTCAGGGCCAACAATGTGGGATCCTATCCCAGCTCACCTTACCTCAGAACCTTTTGACCTGCTCATCAGACAACTGCCTGCCTCAAAAGGGCCACTGTGCTGAGCGAATGGCAGCTCTCTTCATTGCCCTGTGCTCCTAACCCTGACCACCCAGGATCTGTGTCTTGGTCTTAATAGCCTAAGGAGTTCCCCTAATGGGCCTCAAATTTTCATATGAGAAATGTGGTCAGGTCCCTACCAAGCCATTTCAAGTTCATTCACCTACCAGAACGGATGCCAGCAGGACAAAGCTGGCTCAACTGTCTACCACTGGTCCCACAGAAATCACAGATCAGGATCCCAGAGCTACTCCATCCCGCCAGCCTCAGTTTCTTCATGTGTGACAGAACACCAAGAGGATCACTAGGACAACTAGGTCTAAGCCATCAGAACTATCTGACACAGGCAAAGTATGTTTGGTACTATAAAGCTTCACAGTCCTTATGGTGTACTGGGGTATGGAGGGAGCTAGATCTCTAAGCCAGGGGAGGAAAAATGGAAGGTGCTATTAGAGGCAGAGGTAGTAGGAAAAGATAGATATCATCAAATACCAGCAAGACCAGCTCTAACCCCAGGGAGCCAAGCCCTGGGTAGTTAGGGGGACAGCCATGCTAAGTCTAGAAGGTAACTGCAGTGAGAGACTGGAGCCAGGCACAGCTGGAGACAGTCGTGAGAACAGAGCCTCCACCTCAGCCAGGTACTCAGGAGGTGAAGGCTGAGGAGCTCTTATGGATATCTGTGGCAGAGAACCTCCACAAGCCTGGGGGACAGAGGAGAGGACACTTTGAAGAAAAGAGGACTGAGGGATACGTAGGGAGACTCAGGATTTCCTCCTAAAGCATAAACAAAGCTCACAGGACTCTCTCCCCTACCCCAGACCTGCCTATATTCAATTCACTGAGCTCATTTCTGGTTCAGTGGAGTCATCCAGCCCTCTTGGTTGCCCAGGAAAGTGCTCAATGTGGGAGAGTCCTACAATGGCCTTTAAGGAAAGAGGGGCCAGATAGATGGATAGCAGCCAGGGCTCCCTGTCCTCCTCAGTGACAGCCACTCCTCTGCTCCTCCACCCTCACCAGAGCCACCCTAGAGGGAGGAAATGAGATCATGTACTATGGTTCCAGAATAGTGGAGGCTGCCCCACTGCTTACTCAGACTAAGCTCCTCCACAGGTCTCTAGGGCCTGCCCCCACACCAGGGGAAATGACTGCTCCCTGATACTCTAGGCCCTGCATCAGTGTTTCCAACACACAGGGTCCTGGATTACGGTACCCTCTCATGGTCTGTGTTCTGCTGACCTCCAGGTGAGAGCATCTACTGCAGACGGTGGGGCTTCCACAGCTAGAAAAGGAGCCTGGAGTGCTTGAGTTTTATGTGATGAAGAGCACAGGTTGTCCTCTATAAATGGGTTCAGAGACTGAAGACATGGCCTTGACCAGGTCCCTAGTCTAAGTTAGGGCCAAAGCTCACATGAAAACTTCTGGATCTGCTTGTTGTACTTGCTACCCAACTTACTCTCACCATAGTGATGGGTTCCCCAGCCTTCCTCAGAGAGCACTGGCCTCTTTTTGGTCTTTGGCCCATTTTGTCCCTGCAGCCACCAAAATCACAAGTTGGACCATGGATCATTCAGGCCCATGACAGAGGCTGCAGGACCCTGTCAGCCTTCCTGCTCATGGTGTGGCCTTATCATCCAGGCCAGGCATGGCCAACCCCTGAGTGACAAAAACATTCTTCAGGTGGAATCTACCAGTGTTAGGAGCATCCTGTGAGCCCCAGACCTGAACTCCACAAAGAGCTGATCATCACCCTGGTGTTGACCTGCTCGGGGGACTCACAACACCAGTGATAGATACCACCCCCACCCACTTACCTCCTTCAACTCCTGGGCCACCGATGTGAGGCGCTCGTTTTCAGACTGAGTGTTGGTGAGGACATTGCGCAGCTGCTTCAGCTCTGTCTGCAGCTCTAGCACCTTCCGCACATAGTACTGCTCCTTGGAGGCTGACTCCTGGATCAGGCTTTCCTCCCGGCTCTCACCATCAGCAGCCACCTTCTTGTGGTTTGTGTGTGCCTGGCCAAACGCCTGCATAGAGAGACAAGATAGTCATGAGACAGGTGTCCTGGGGCCATGGCGCAATGAAGACCCAAGACAACAAGAAACTCAAGGGCTCTTGGTCTGGGAAGCAGTTCTGTATTCTGCACGTACTATAAATATACTGAGGTGCAGGAGCATGCTTCATTATAGTAAAACCAAACCAGGTCTTCGAAGCACTGTGTATAGTGGCGGGAAGGAACATGGATGACACAGTGCCACAAAACACATGTGAGGCAGGAACTCCCTCTGCACCGTCAGGGAAGTTCCCGAGCACCAGGAAATGGGGGGGGGGGGGTCTATACTGTGAGCCTGGATAAGCTGATGGGGAACCATCCCAGAGTAGCACACCCAGGATGCAGTCCAGATAATTGGGGCTCAGGGAGGTATGCTACCACCCACACACAAGGCGTGAGTTGCTTGATGCCAAACCATCCTTTATTTGTTCTGGGGCAAACATGGGCTGTGGGCAGTCAAGAAGAGGCCCTGGCCCCAGGGACAGAGGCATAGTAACAATCAGCCAGAGAGTCTATCTTGGGGTGTAGAGACCCAGAGAATGCATGTAACTGCATGTTCCAGACTGGGTAAGGAGCAAGGGTGCCAGGCATGGGACGCAGGAAGAAGATCCTTCAAGTGAGAGTAGCCAGCAGAGAGCTGGCCTTGCCCAAGATGTCAGGACTACCACACACTGAAGTCAGCAGCTACGCTGCACCCATGCCCTGGGGCCCTGGCTAACCTGGCTCCATCATGTGCCCCTATGAAGGACCATGTCTGCAGGGCCTTCTCTGCTCCTTCTCTCCCTGACTCTTTGTAGGACTTATGGCAAGAAATGAGATTAAGAGAAGAGCCACTGAAGAACAAGAAAATGATTATTTTTATCAGTTTAAAGACAGAATAGGGAATATTTTCCCTCATTTTCTACTACACAAGTCTAGAGATTTGGTCCAAGAAAAAAAAATGAGCAAAATGTACAAAGCAATGTTGAACAAGGACATCTCTAAGCTGGGCATTTTCCAATATAAACACATGAAAACAGAGGAATTCATTTCCTTCCTGACAGGGAACAGGTTGAATAGAGTAAGGTCTGTTCTAAGGCGTGTACTATACCACATGGTACTGTGGGGAGACCCCACAATGGACTAGAGGACAACACAGAATCAGGGCTGGTATTGGGAGTGGGGGGCAGAGGGGGGACCTGGGGCTCACAGTGTAACACTCCTGTAGTAAATCTATAAATATCCAAGTCACCCAGGCTCCCTCCCAAGGTGGCCAGGTTTTGCTTATATGCCCTCAGTTCCCTGGCACAGCATCCACTCTGCATCAAATCAAGGCAGCTCAACTTTGTGATTTCTGGTTTGCCTTCATCCTGAACCCAGGGAAAGACCAAGTCACAAATTGCTTCACCTACACAGCATGCTGGCTGTCTACCATTAGATGTATGAAGGGAAGACAGACTCTGAGCTAGCCCCAACCCAGGCTCTTGGACCAGCCTGAGATGCCCAGCACCTGCAGCTACTCAGGACACACCCATCAACTTGGGAGTTGGGACATGGACATCTCAGGTTTCCCAGAAGGGTGATAGCTAAGCACTGTGACACAATGTTCAGGCCCAGACCTGCCAACCTGGGCCCCGTCTCTTCTCCTCCACCCAAGCTCCCAGCCTGGGGCACAGGAGCAACCCTGGGCAGTTTTTCCAACTCACTGTGATGCAGACACCCACTTCCAGCTGAGGATATAGTCATAAGGACAGACTAAAAATGGGATAATACAGGAAGAATATGATGGAATACAGTTGGCGAGATGGCTCTAATGACCTGAGAACCATGCCCAGGACCCACTAGAAGAACTGACTCTCAAAAGTTGTCCTCTGATCTCCACATATGTGCCATGGTACATACACACCCAAGCAGGTGTACACTTACACACATACACACAATAAATAAATGCAAAAATATTTTTTAATATGACACAATAATAAGCAACAGTTTTCAAGTCTGTAGTACCAGGTAAGTGACAGGGTGAGGGGCGTCCATACCTCAGGAGGAGCTTTGGGGCACAGCAGAGAAGGGAGGACCGTGGTGGGTGGCAGGGTCAGTGGAGGAGGAAGACTACCAACAGGGTAGTAAAAGCAGTTAGGGTTGAGGACAAGGGGTGAGTCTTCAGTAAGGACAGTCACCATTAAGGCTGAGGACGCCACAGGAAAAGACCATACAGGACAGAGGGAATAATCCCTCCCACTAGCACAGTCTGTAAACAGGCCTGCTCCCACCAGCCAGAGGGAGCCTGAATTGCAGGTGCCAGAGAGAACACATCTAGGACCTGGCAGAATCAGTCTGTATTACATGCTGCTCTGGCATAACAGAGCAAAGTGGAAAGGCAGACTATGAAAGGATTAAGCCATTTCCAAGTCACTACCTCCCAGAACAAAGTTGAGAACACAAGTGAGAGAATAAAGATATCCATCTGCCAACAGGTGAGCACCACAGTGAACCCCGTGAGGAGGAAAGCGGGGTGGCAGCAGAGGGCAAGGAGGCTAACAAGTACCAGGGCCAAAGCCCTCAAATCATGAGCACAGGAAAGACAGAAGGCACTAAGCAGACACAGAAGATACAACAGACCCAAGTGGAACTTCTAGAGATGAAAAGCAGGTATCAGAAAAGATGAGTTGTTTCTGAAAAGCAGCAAACACCCTCAAACAAAACATAAAAATAACTAAAACAAAACCTAACAAACCAGACAAATAACCATGAAGTATAGAACAATTTCAAGGAGCCTAATCCGTAGGTAACAGGAGTCCCTACAGGACAGGAAGAAGGAGGCCAGAAAAAGTATTTCAAGAAAAATGGCTGAAAATTTTCCAAGTCTGAGGGCTGGCAAGATGGCTCAGCCAGCAAAGGTGCCTGTGAACAAGCCTGAAGACCTATCCTTAGGACTCACATAGTCAAAAGAAAGAACTGACTCCCCAAGATGTCTTCTGACCTCCATATACATGCTATGCCACGCATGTGCAGGCCCACATAAATATATGCAATTTTTAAAAAATAAAAATAAATAAAAAAAGGTGGATGTAGTGGCACATGCCTTTAATCCCAGCACTTGAGAGGCAGAGGCAGGTGAATCTCTATGAGATGGAGGCCATCCTGGTCCACATTACAAGTTCTACACAAGGTGAGGCTACAGGGAGATCCTGTCTCAAACAAATAAACTAAAACATTTTATTTTATGTGTATGTGTGTATGCCTCAGTGTATGTATAAACACCATGCGTATGCAGATGCCTGCAGGGGCCAAAAGAGGGTACCTCCCCTGGAACTAGAGCTGCAGGCAATTGTAGGCTGACCAATGTGGGTCCTGGGAACCAAACCTGGTCCTCTGCAAGAGCAGCAAGTGCTCTTAACTGCTCCAACTCCCAAACTATTGTTATACAAACAACAGAGATAAACCTCACATATCATGCAAAAGACACCAGAAATAAGAAGGCACAACATGTGAGTCTATTTACTTTTTTATTTGTCTTTTTGAGACAGGGTCTCTCTGGAGCACCAGCTGGCCTGAACTCACTATGTAGACCAGGCTAGCCTTGAACTCAGAGATCCACCTGCCTCTGCCTCCCCAGTGGTAGGGTTAAAGGCGTGTGCGCCACACACCCAGCAGATTCTATTTATGTTTAAAGTTTTAAGTAAAAGTTATGCTGTCAGGTCAAGGTAGTGGGGACTCCAGGTACAGGGAGGATACTGGGAGAGTAAGTACCCTGGGGATACTCTAGGAGGAAGTCTAGGACTTGATCTTTCATCTGGATGCTCCTTACAAGGCTATGTTCCTCTGGTTTTGTTTTTGTTTGATGCTTTTCTGAGACAGGGTCTCACCATAACTAGCCTTGAACTTTTGATCCTCCTCCTCAGCCTTCTCTGAGTGCTGTGGTTACAAGTGTGAGCCACCGCACCCAATCTGAGAATTCACACTTATAATGTATGCTCTGTATGACTTTCCATAATAAAACGCTAAGACAGGAGCACAGTTCAGCGGAGCACCAGCCTCACATACACAGGGCTCCAGCCTTGGTCCTTAGCATTGGTTTTTTTTTTTTTTTTAAAGTTAAAAGCAAAACAAACAAAAACTAGAAAAAATAAATAAAATTCAGGGGGAAAAAATAAAAGAACACATTCTCACAGCAAAAAAATCAGTAAAACAGAAAATTTAATCTCAGAAGCAAGATCTTCAAAAAGATCTATCAAATTAACAAATTGTCTAGCCCAAATCAGCAGAGTGGGAGAGGCGAAGACAAACTACCATTTTTCAGGAGTAAGAGATGGTAGCACTGTAGGTTCTATAGATATTAAGAACATTTCTCTGAAAGACACAAGTCACCCAAACCCACTTAAACAGGAACAGGTAACTTGAGTATCTTGGGTCTGTTAAAGCAATTAAACATGTAGTTTAAAACCTTCTGACAAGGGTCTGGAGAGATGGCTCATCAGTTAAGAGCACTGGCTGTTCTTGCAAAAGACCTGGATTCAAATCCCAGCACTGATATGGCAGCTAACAACTGTCCATAAAGCCAGTTCCAGGGGATCCGACACCCTTTCTGCCTTCCTTGGGTATTGCATGACACAGGTGCACTTACCTTTGGTTGTCAACTTGACATACCTGGGTATAGAAAGCCTCAACTGGGGAATTGCCTCTGTTGGACTGGTCTGTGGCCATGTCTGTGGGATATTTTCTTGATTGTTGAGTGATACATGAGGGCCCAGCCCACTGTGGGTGGTAGCACCCCTGGGGAGGTTCTGTATTGTGTAAGAAAGCAGGCTAAGCAGAGGCAGGTGGATCTCTGTGAGTTCAAGGCCAGCCTGGTCTACATAGTGAGTTCCAGGACAGCTAGGGCTACAAAGAGACCCTGTCTCAAAAAGACCAAAAAAATTAAAAAAAAAAAAAAAAAAAGAAAGAAAGCAGGCTGACCATGGGCCAGGGGCCCAAGCCAATAAGCAGCGTTCC